AAAAAAAAAAAAAAAAAAAAAAAAAAAAAAGAAAGATGAGACGGGTATACAATTTATTATAATTTTTTTCCACTCACAACTACTTCGGCATTCAAATACTCATAAAACTGTTCCGCTATAACTTTATAGCACTTTCTACTGCTTTTTCAATTCTTTTCAAATTTAAATTTTGATGCTAAAATAATGCTTGCCATCATACTTAATAATTGGTAGATTTCGATTATAATGCTTTGTTAGGACTGGAATCCTAACATGGTACTGTCCATCAGAGGATACTGGTAAGGCGTTTTGGTTAAGATTTTTTCTATGCTAAAGTAATGTTGATTGAGAAGAAAAAAAGATGAGTAAATTTTTTTAGCTGTTAAAGTTGTTGTCATCGTTTACCATAAATTCATTCTATTCAATTTTTATACCGATTAACTTATTCATCAAATAATTTGATTTTTCTGTACAAATCTGATAAATAGCCAAACCAAATAAATAGAGTTAAATTAAATTTTGAACAGTGTTTTTTATTTTCTGCACACTGTTCAAGAAAAAAAAGTTGGGTTTAGCTTCGTAGTAAACGATTTGTTGGCCATTTAACAAAGCAACAAGTAACTGCAGCAACACTATCAGTCCGTTGCACAACGACAATAGTAACAACAGTGTTTCTTCTAGAAATTTTCGTCAAAAAAAAGAAAACTACTAACTGACTAAACATCTTTAACTAAATTAATAGAATAAGTTTAAAAAACAGTTCAGAAGTACCTTCATCAGTGTGTTCAAATGTTGCTGCTTTTTGCCTAAGCTGGGCAAATCACTTCTCCTTACAAAAAGCTATCACTCTGATCAGTTTAGCATAGACAGTTTTTCAGCCAATTTACAAGTCCACTATCAAATGTTCACACAGAAACTGGAGGAAAGCTCATCTTTCAAGAATGATTCTCTTCAAACGACCGGGTACAACGTAGCCGCTTGTTGTTCATTCTGCACTGTAATTTTGTTCGAATAAAAAAGCCAATTTAAATAAAACTGTAGGGCCAAGTTGCCTTCATTTTTCATTCTTACTTATAAGTATTTCAATTTTCAACAACCTTTTTTCTTTTCTTTTCTTTCTGTGGTGAACAAACTACTTTACCGCATTCTCATTTTTTTAACCAACTAAAAATCTTCTGCCTTTT